AACGAAAGAAAATGAAATGTTCGTTTATTTAATTTTTTCGAGAAAAGGTTGTTACAACTCATATAAAATCTGGTCTCGATATTTTTAAATAATTGAATGTTCTTTATCTTTCTAAAATGACTTGGTAATTTTAATTCAATCTATTTTGGGTGCTTTTGAATATTGTAAAATTCATTTTTTTGTTTTACTGGATCAAAAATTAAATTAAATTCGAATTTTTAAAGTTAATTGCAAAGACGTTAATTAATCGATTAGGTACCGATTTAGGGCGATGTAGAGTTTTAATCATTCCCCACGCGTAACCAACTCCCGAACTTGATTTTGGTAACGCATACCTAAATTTGTCGTTTTAATTAAAATTAATTTTTATTTAAAATGACAAAACGTTTTTGGGTGCCCAATCACACCCTAATCAAGGATTGGTGACGACTCTTTGAACCATATTTTTCTATTAAAAATGAAATCTCAAAAAAATTCAAAAAAGAAATTTTTTAAATCGCATTTATTTTTAAATTAAAAATATAATTAAAAAATATAATTAAAAATATGTGTTTTTTCAAAATCTCACTTTTTAAGAAAAAATCGTTTATACAGGATGAGATTAACCGTCCTTCATGTTGCTACTCCTGTTTTGGCTTCTTTCTTCCTGCCTTTTCTCTGGACCAGTTTCCTCTTGAAGGCAGCAGTATATGTTGAACAGTGCAATTTTCCGGTGATGAATAGAATGGCCGGTTGTAATTTTGATGGTTGCTTTTGGAATGATTTTACAAACTCAAATAACTAGTGTTTAAATCCTAATCAAATAAAATTTGGTAAAATAATTATACTTTTAATAAAAAAAATATAATTTAATTATATTTCTGTTAAAATTTAAATCAAATAATAATAAATGATTAATTGGGTATATATCATTATATTTTCATATTTATTTAATAAAGATAATTTTATTAGTAATATATATCAATATATCATATTAATGGTTTTTCAGTGTATAATGAACGCTCTAAAATTTTCTTAACTATAAATAGTAAATTGATTTATTTCGGGATAAAATTATTTAGATGATTTAGAGTCGAGTTTTTGACTCTGAAATTTCAAATTCATCTTTATAAAATTTGATTAAAAAAATTGAATCTTCCTCGTTTGTATTCCCATCATCTTCTATTTTATCTGTTTTTTTTTCAATCCTTATCAAATCTATTTTTCATATACAAATAAAAATCGTCAATTTTATTTAAAAAAATATTCAAAATTATAATAAAAAATTATAACTTAACATAAATTAAATATATAAATAGAATATCTTTTATAATCATTGGCATAAGAAACTAGTTATATGTAATTATACATTGACCATTCAAAGATAAAATTAAAAACTCATCCAAAATCAATATAAATACGAACATAGATGGTAGTTCATGACGTCAAAATACTATGAACCCCATAATTGCACACATAATGCCAGGAGTACACAAATGTATAAAATACATGAGTACACAATGGTACTAATACAAGAGTACACAAAACAATAATACAAGAGTGTGTATTCGCACTAATACATGAGTGCATAATTGCACTGATTCAGGAGTGCACAAATGCACTGGTTCAGCAGTGCACGAATGCACTAATATAGGAGTGCATATTCACACTGATACAAGAGTGCATGTTTGCACTAACATGTGATCAAATTATCAACACTTTACCTTATGGCTTACTAGTATCCTAATTTAGTAGTCAGTGATGATTCTCAAGTCTTATACAGTTAACTTTTAATTTTTTTTTATAGAAACTCGCTAGTTTTATTAAAAATAGAAAATATCTAAAATTTCAATGATTATTTATAAGCATAATCGTAAACCTAAAATATAAGTATGATATTTTCCTATTACCATTGAGACAAAAACTAGTAACATAGATCACATAAGGACTAAAGAAGGAAAATGTTAAAAAAACATAACAAAAAAAAACTCGAACAAAATAAAGAGACGAACAAATTTGATTGTATCGGTAAACAAACCACAAAAGGGGATGAAGCTACTGAAATACCACCGATAAATCTCAAATCAGAGTCAAGCGACGTGAGAAAATTATCCACCGATAAATATTTTCCTTCAATTTTTCCTAATATTTTGATTTGATCTGATTATTCAAATATTTTACCAGACTTTATCTTTTCATAGCTTTTTACACAATCTCCTAATCAAAATCTGAATTCAATATAGAATCCATTCTTAAAGATGAACTTTTTGTATATGGGATAATTTTTTGAAAAAATCATCACTTTGGTCCTTAATTTTTTCTCAAATTTCTACTTTGATCACTAAACTTTCCAAATTTACATTTTGGTCACTTCCTGAAATTTTGGGGTATTACATAGAAAAACTTTTCATTTTATAAAAGATTAGGATAATCTTGTAAATAAAGATAATAAAAAACACAATATAACGCATTAGATCATGTTATTGTATAATATTTTTCAAAATGAAGAGAGACAAATATTATATCTTCCGTCATTCTATAAGAACTTCACTTTAAATCACATCTTCAATGCCAAAAAATTAATAAACCATAAAATTCAACAAACCCAAATAATTGGCCAAACTTCTTATATATTATTGTAAATTATCCAACCAATAAATAGTTATATGATAATCAAACATTTAAAGTATATAATATAATTTTTCTAAGACCAAAGAAAGGAGATATTTTCTTCTCTATCTACATAAGAGGAAAAACAAAAAACACTAACCTAATCAACTAATTTTCAACTGGGTCAATTGTACAAGACCATCAGTTACATGAACTTAAATAAGTAAAACTATGTTAGTACTGAACATATTGCTTATGTTCTTTCTTCACAGTAGTAAAAATGGTGTATTGCTACCATGAGCTGCTTGGCAAATCTTTGGTGTTGTACTTGGGGATCATTCAAACCGGTATATGCGTCGCATAACTATCTGATAACTTATCTGACATAATACATTTAATCTTATAATTTATCTGATATTACAAAAGACATGATATGTTTTATTTAAGATTATATTATATTAATCATTATTAGAGTATATTTACTATCATGGTCGTTTGTTGTTGTATCCCACGAGACTGATGTTGTTAAAAACATGGAGAAAGAGAAATTTATTTTAAGAAATCTCTTTATATATATCTCAATAAAAAAAATTCATTCTTTTTATCCGACTTTGTTTATCCCTCCCTAATATTATACGTAACTGCCAATGTCATGAGACTTGAGATTTTAAATTCTCGCAGAAAGTGAAACTCCATCTGCCATAGCCTTTAGATTACAGATTTTACTTTTGGATTAGATCTTCTTTTCTAATAAATTTTGGGGTCAATAAGTTAGAATAATTTACGGTAGAAAAGCCAATTTATTTGGACCCATTTAAGTGTTATAAGACTTCTCTGGTGTATGGACATGCATTGTAGGGTTGTTGATCTTTCCTCAAAGTTAAGGTTTCATTAAATAGATTAATATCTATTGTTTTTAAGATTTCTTAACAAGCTTAGAATAATTCTAAATAGAATAGGTTTATAAAAATAACTAATAATATTTAAATAAAAAATTGGTGAATTTTTTTAATAAAAAGCTTATATTTACATGTTGAATTTATACTCGAGACACTGTAATATCATTAATAATTAATTGATTTAGTAAAATAAAACATTAACCCTTAATTAAAATTAGAAATTTAAACCTAAACATAGAAAATAAAATAAAATAAATTAAAAGATTTGTCAAAATGAACCGTATTTGTCTATGAAAGTCGAAATAAATAGGGTCTGTTGAAGAGGACAAAATTTCAGTAGTTTATGTGATTAATGTCCATGAATGCAATTAGGTCTAGAAAGTTGGGTTGGGTTATATGTTGCACTATTGATGAAGGTGGTCGTTAGAGTATGGTAAGAAACAATTAGCATACTTGTTAGATTATTAGGGATCGAATCAGGATCAAATAATGAGAGAAAAGAAATTTATTAAATATTTAAATTTAAAAATTACAATGAACAAAAATTTTATTTGAGTAATATTTTAACTAACAAAAACTTAAAATGTTATTCTACCATAAAAAAGTTAGAGGGGTCACAACCAGTGGCAGTCATATTTATGTGAGGATAGGCACACCTATTATGAAATTCGAATTTTATCGTAATAATTGTCAAACTTTTATTGTATTTATTATATAATTTTATTTATATCCATCCATATTTGTTAATATTTAAAAAAAATATTTTTAGATTTGTGACTTATACCGATGATAACCCCTCCCATCCAACAAATAACATTGTCTTGGACTACCATTTGTCTTAATAAACTCTACTCCGATTAATAGGTATAAATAAATCAGTTTTCTCATTAAGATATTAAAAGTCTATTAATAAAATTGATGGGAGTGTTTTGTTTCTTTATTTTAACAAAATGTATAATATTTAATTTAAATTAATTAATTAATAGAAAATCGACGATTAAATAAAAAACGAATTGTATCATTAATAAATTAATTTTAACACAACAAATATATATAAAGCCAAGGTGTTGAGAATGAAATGAAGCCGAAGAAAGGCATGTGAAGGCCCGAACTGTGAACAAAGAAATTTCGTCGAGTGAGGACCAGAATCGGTGGCTTGCTAATGCTGAGGTACAAAAAGAGTCAAACACCACACCACTAATATGAACGTCACCAAAAGTCCACAACGTCGGCTGCCCAAAACTCCTTTACATCTTTTTAATGACAAAAAAGTATTCAAAATAATCACACAGGTCCCCCCCTTCTTTGAAATCTAAACTAATCAACTCTTGTACACCATGGCGCGTAGGCTCATATTGTCTTGAATGCACTCATCCTCACTCTATACGCGAGCTAATTGAGCGTAGGTCTACCATTTGTCTTCTTTTTTTATTACATGAATTTCAACGACAAACCCTCCTGTCTAAGATATAAAGGACCCACCTTTCTTCCTCCCATCGTATGAATCAACCAAATCCCTGCTTCTTTGTTCTTGCTAACCATGAGTGACACCAAAAGATCTAGCTCTGGGTGTTTTTCATCTGTTTTGCGACGGATTCTTTGTTCGGGGAATCCTCAGACACACCCATCGGATTGCATTGTAGGGTTAAACACCATAGATGAAGTGGCCGAGGTTCAAGTTCCGGGTTCTGACAGTGGTCCTGGAATAGTGGCGAGGCTAATGGGGCTAGACTCATTGCCGGAAAACAACAACTGGCTTCACAAAGGTAAATTTCCTCAAGGCCCTGTTACCCGGAGCAGGTCTGTGAATTTCATGGATTACATGCTGGAGTTTGATCTAACACAGGCCAAACACCGTCGTGTCAAAACATCGTCTTCGTTTCGCGAGGTGCCGCAATGTCCGCCGCAAGTATTCCAGCATAATCGGAAACAAGAATTCTTGATTGTGTACTTGGACAATGAGGTTAAAATCAATGAAGATGTAGGGATTAAGCCAAGGAAATCAGAGAAAGGAGATGGATCGGGTACTAAGCAAGCTAAGCAACAAAAGGACAATGTAAGAGAGAAAGCAGGATGTAAGAAGCAGATTCAAGAGAAAAACAAGAAGATATTTAAGCTTAAAAATGAGCCAAGGGGAGTTTCTGGTAAACATTCAAAGGAAATACCTGTGGTGACAAGCAAGAAGAAGAAGAAGAGCCAACGTCCAATTTTGGGTAATAAATTTCATTTGCTTTTTTACAAGTTTCGAAGTTACTTCTGTTCATTTAATTACCATCTAACCTGAGTAAATGTCCAAAATTTTCTCACAGAAGATTTAAGGTCGTTGGAACCCAAGTCGAAGAAGAAATGCTCATCGAAGTCAGTGAAACACGACTCCCCCACTAAGGATATCAATGCTCGCATTCCAATTACTGAGTCGACGGATATGGAGGAAACTGAGTTTTACATGGAGTTGATTGATAAGCTTAGCAAGCTGACAGAGGAAGATATTAAATTCGCAAACTGGGAAACCAAGAAAGTTTTCACTTTTGAAGAGATTTGTGCAGAGTTTGGGGACCAAATACTTGATATCATGCTGCACCAGGTAGCTGATGAGCTTTGTGGGACTTCGCATGACATGTAAATTTGTGCGAAGAAGAAAAAAGGCAACATGCGAAGGGGAAATCAGTGTGAATACAGTTCACCGATTTTTGACTACTGGTACACTCGTCTCTGCAACAAGATTGAAGCAAGATTCTAGTGCCATGTGTAGGAATAAAACGATGCATGTTCAGCAAATGTTAAAGCTTTTTTGTAATAAAAAATTAGTAGCAGCAGATTTAATGGGGGAGAATTCTTCTCAGTAAACTTATATGGGGTTTCGTTTTGCAGCTTTAGGGAAGAGAATGTACATTTTCCGATGTTCATTGTTGTTGAGTTAGGGTTGAATTTGAGACTTGTTTTGATGTATTGAAAACTCTTTGGGGTTTGCTTTGTAAAGGCTTCTAGCGTTGGATTCTGCTATTTTGGGTAGGGAATGGGATGTGCTTTATAATGCAAATGTCTATTGTCCGGCCTAAGCAGAAACTAATAAGACCACTTGAGGAATTAGTATTTTACCATCTCCTAAATCAAATATTCCCTTTGTACTTTACTTTTATTGATCCTCTTTATTGTGGAGCCAAGATAAATGAATAGCATGATGTGATTATGAAGCCAAAACTAACAATTAAATCACGTATTGTGGTGTAAAAGTATTATTAGATTTGGCTTACTGGTGCTCTTTCATTAGTTTTGTTTAACAGTAAGAAGAAGAAAAAACGAAATCAAAACGTAATGTTAGGTATAATTTTAAAAATATAGTTGAGTAAGCAAGATAAAATCAAGAAAATATATGAGGGACTAAATACATAATTTACCCAACACAGTAATAATATTTCTTATAGTCATATTGTGTCCGTAACCCCTTAGACCCGACCTAGACATTACGATCGAACCCCAAAGATCATATTCGTTACTAAAATAACCCAAAACAGTTTTGCCGAAAAATAATGATTTAAAATCAAGTTTATGATCACTTTATTATGCAACTACCTTATATTTATCATTATATCAAACTAATAAAACTCTAAATATAAATCTTATAACGAAAGCAGAAATATTAACATATAAAAAAACCCATCAGAATGTAGTCTCATGCCACGTTTTGATAAATAAAATCATTAAAAGAATCCGTACAAATAAAAATAAGAAAAAATAAGATTGCAATTCTTCAAGTACCATATTGTGTCTAGAATCTAGAACGATTTGAAAAGGAGACGAGAAGGTGGGCTATAAAGCTTAGTGCGATTAAAATGTGTGAGCAAACAAAGTATTCCGGAAATCATACAAGCATACTCAATAAATTCGATATCACGGACCAACTGAAATGCAGACACGAGCTAGTAAGTTCCTAATTACCCAACCATCCGCTAAACTTCATAGGACGAGTTTCCCATAACACGTAGTCAACCGAATGTCAAACAGGATGCGATGAATCGCATAAACAAAAGTGGTGACCGCTAAAATTCAGAAGAAAAAATCGTTTGTGAGAACTGTATAACAGTTACACCACTAGGAGCAGTAAACTTCTAAAACAGGAGCGATAGACCACTACACTTCCTCCTTCACATCTCAACCATGAAATCAGACAGGTGACATGCTTATACAAATTACAAGACAACACAAAACATGATACAATAATCAGAGTACTTTTATAAACATGTACAATTACAGATTATCACAGTACAAGAAACATGTTATTCAAACATCTCACAAATATCAAACACAAGTTTGATAGCCTATTAATAAATCAAAAACATGTTCGATAAATCATAATAACGCAAATAAAGGAATACATGAATTCATATACATCATCATCACATCGATCAACATTTAGTTAATTTTAGACTTAACATTAAAATTATTAATCAAAAATTAAAACAGTTGTAATACAGTAAGACACACACCCACTTATAACCAATCGGAAATAATAGGATTTCACTTCTTTGATGCTTCACCTTATTGCCAGCGAGTACTTATATCAATTCTATTTGATCCTTAAATTAACTATAATAACAACGATTACTTATTGAACTAACCACAGTACTCTAAATTACATTGAATATCCAGAATATTTGATCAAACGATTACAACAATAAAATCTCAACGATGCAGGTACTAATATAAATCCAAAAACTCCATTCTTCACTCTCTCCTATTTCACTCATTGAACTTTTAAAAAAAATTCACTGAATTTTATAGATTGAATTCTTTTGGTCACTCCATTGTTGATTATCTAACAACGTCATGACATGGACAAATTCACTCAAACATTTTCTGTTTATATTTATTTGACTTTTCAATAGAGGATCATTTGTTGTCTTCATCTTCTTTCGTTGTCAACATCTTCTTTTAGTAAGGTGCAACGAAAAACAATAAACTCGGGGTAATGGCTCCTGGTTCCCAAACTGGCATTAAACCAGTGAAATAAATAGTGTTTGGCACTAGATTTTGTCACCGGAATTTCTCCAACCAAAACACCTACACCACTTTAAAAAGAAGAATTTGGTTGTTTTCTCTTTAGATATAGATCTAGAAAATATATATTTAGGGGGATTAATATTTTACATAAAGTTATAGATGGAAAATCCTTCAACATCAAGGATAATCAATTACTATACAACTTCAACATCTCCTACTTTCAGTTCCACAACAATTGGTGTAACGCCTCAAATCCCAGGTTAGGAATTACGGGTTAACACGAGATGGGTTAAACAAGCCCAATTTCCTTGTAGAAGAGCTTAGTCTATTTGGAGTTTGGATTGAGCTTGGTTTAGGGCCCAATTAAAAAGGGCATTTTTTAATCTTAGGAGAAAAGAGAAATGACTAAAAGAGCAATTAAACCAATTTTTAAACACAAAAGTTGAAATTCCTTAATTGTTGGTGATATCACTTTTGTTTTCTCCTCTTTTTCACCATCCTCTTATTTGTCTTCTTCCTTTCTTCTCACCATTTTCTTCCTCTCCAATAATAGAAAATAGGTTGAAGCTTTTAGTTTTACAAGCCAAGTTCAAGGATTCCAAGGTAAAAAATGAAATCTCCATCTTCTAAGCTTTCATTCAAGCTATAACATCAAGGTTTGGCCATAGAAACCAATTGTAGGTTTTGGAGGGGTTTAAGAATCTAAGTGTTTTTCAAAACATAGGAGTATCGATGCCAAGATATTTTCAAAACATTGAAGCAAAATTTGGTATCAATACCCTGGAAAGTATCGATATCCTAGTCAAAGAGTATCGATACTACCCACTTATTTTCTGATTGATATAACTCTATAGTATCGATACTCAAGAATGAGTATCAATACCATCGTACATTTTTGGGCAAGAAGCCCAAGGGAGTTAGAAGTAACGTTTAGGGACCCAAAAACACTAAAACACCAACGAATAACTACAAGTGAGAACCATTGATAACATGAAATCACAACTTGAAACATCATTATTAGGATGACGTAAAACTAGTCTTGGATGATGCTCGGGAAAATGCTCAGGACACCCAAGTCACTCTAGCATATGACAATAGTTTCGAGGTATATAATGTTCGGATATCCCTTGGCAATGTGCGAGGCACTTTGAGACTAACTAGGGGGCGAGGCCCGAACACTTGCTATGGGTGGGTTAGTTGGGTGTTGTGTCCGATGTAGAGATTTTGGACCTCACCTTAGGTAGACTAGAGGGGTGTGTGTCTCGAGATGTGTAACCTTCCGACCCACCATGATGTATACCCTAGAGTAGTGTGAAGTATATGAGTATACTCACTTTCCTTATTACACTCGATAGTATGAGCATTTGATTAACACTTTTTAATATAGTTTAGTTGTTAGTGTGACACTGGGCTAGTGAGCTCAGCGTTCGGAATTTGTTTCCAAACGTAGGTCTTTAGAATGAGCACTTAAGGAGCCTATCGCGCAGTGGACATTCTAGATAGTTCGAGCCATGGTTTTCAGAACCGGACCGGTTAGCGAACCGGTCATGCTACCGGTTCACTGGTTCAACCGGTCGAACCGGTCTGACCGGTCGGAAGAACCGGACGACGTCATAATTATTTAAAAAATTAAATAAAAATACCAAAAATATTTAATAAAAAATAATTTTTTATATCACAAGTCATATTCAAAGCAAGTCATAACATATATATAAGTTAAAAACCATAAAATCAAGTGAAACAAAATGATTCAAATTAACTACAACATAATATTTAAGGTAAAACATATTAAATAATAAATATAATTATACAACTATAATTAAAAAATAAATTTGGGGTTAAAAAATCATAACAAAATGATATTGTTTGGTTTAATTTTTTTTTAAAAACAATCTCACATGGCTAAGAAACATAGAAGAGCATCCCAAAAGTCTAAAGAGTAAAAATATGAGAACAAAACAATCTCACATTGCTAAGAAACATAGAAGCGCATCACAACTAACTTCTATAAATAATAGAGGTAATTTGGCATTCAAAATCATGGAGTCTTTTGGTGAGCATTGAGTGAACTATTCTTTCACTTCAATCAAGCTCGAATTTTAGGCTTCAATCGAGCTTCTAATTTTTTTTTTTAGTTCAAGCCTTTTTGAGTTCAAGTTTCAATATTATATTTCGAGTTTGAGTTGAACTTGATAATTTTTAGCTTGTGAGTTTGAGTTGAGTTGAGCTTACTTTTAAAGTTTTCAAGTTCGAGTCGAGCTCAGCAATACTCGAGTTCGACTTGGCTCGTTTAATAAACTACGTTGTTTGGTTTAATTATTTTTAAAAAAAAACAAAAATCCCAGTTTTTATCGGGTTTTTCCGATTTTCAACCGGTCCGGTTCGAACGGTTCAACGGTTCTGGCCGGTTCACTAATAGCGGTTCAACCGGTTTAGATTGAACCGGACTAAGCAACGGTTCCCGGTTAAACAGGTTGAACCGGCCGGTCCGGTCCGATTTTCAAAACAGAGGTTCGAGCAATAAAGTACATCTTGAGTCATTTATTTAAAGGGCATGTATTATTCATAGACCTTTTTGTATTCGAGTCGTAACTCTACTTTATATACTCGATTGTATTATGTTGAGATACTCGTTT